TACTATCATCTACTTTCAGAAAGATTAAGATACCCCGAGCCAGGAGGCAAGATACACGTGATCGAACCAGGACCCGATATATTGCTGAGTGGAGACAGATATGGGGGAATATCGTCATCAAGAAACGACTGAAAACAGCAGGAAAACTTGCAGCATTCAAAGAATGGTAAAGATTTTAGACGAAAATAAAAGCCAAGCGACGGCAGATCCTAAAATCTGAATGGCAGGAAATATCTTCACAGATGATAAAACAGGAAGGACGAGGATGAACTGAGCAGTAACACCTACTAGTATATACAAAAACCTAATTAGGAGGGCAAGACTGAACACCCGTATGCGGTATCCTCTACGAACGAGAGAGTGAAATTGTTAGTTCAAGTGTCCTGACCTCACTTTCCAATGTTAGTCATAGATTAGTCATCTTTCATCATGAGTATCAGTATCTTTTGTAGAATATAGGAATAGACAAGATCCACCAACACAGCCGCAGAAACGTGAAACACAGTTCACATTCTTTGCACAGCGTATTAGTATCCCGACAGAAATATTCTCCGAGGGCTAATTACGTTCGGATGCATTAGTAGCAAAAACTTTTGCCCACGAGGCAAAGATTCAAAATACTCCACGTCAAATTTTTGCTCCAAATTCTCAAGGATTTCCAGGAAATATCTCGAAGAACAAGTGCACAATTTCGGATAAGAATTTATTGATATTCGAATAGGATATCGAAATCTCTTCTGAATGTGAATTAATTATGAATAATATTCCGTTATCTTAGTTAAACATATACAAATAAGTCTATCGTTAAATACAGATTCCTAAGGCCTTAGTGATCCCGAACTCCAAGCGATCTAGCAACAAACAGCCACTCAATTTTTTATTGACTTTGTATGTTGGTCTATTATCATAGACACGGAAATAGATTCATGACATTGCTCAATGAGAGGCTAGGATTGATTCCGATGTAATTTGGTAGAAGATTTATCACACAATTAGAGGCTACAATGTCTTTTTATATCTACGTATTTACCCCCATATTCACCATATCCGCTAGCCATTCTATATCTAGCGTGCATAGCCTGATTTATCTCATGGTTCTGGGATGGAGCTGTAGTTTCCTAATAGCAGTATTCTTTTAGCTACTACAATACCTTGCAGCTTCAGATATAGTTTACCGTGCGATACTTCCACCTGAGCTTCATGCCTCCTTGATATGCTGCCCGCTCGGTGATCAATGAAATAACCGGACCTAAACCTGAACAATAACTTTAATCACGAACCCATGAATACCTAAGACAGAAGCCTGCAATCTAACACAATCAGGTTAGGAATCGCCAACTATAACCTAATTCAAACAATAATTGCAAGGTAGCATTTCTTAGCCACTACATTTCAGATACCACTAAACCTCATGTCGCCTAGTTAAGCTTTTTTTTTTTTGCATCAGATTTTAATTGCGTATGCAGCTATCTAGCTATGACACAATATCAGAGAAGTGTATGATAGATGACTCAATTTACAAGAAGAGCACTCATGCCTCGGATTTCATTTGCAAGTACCACTGCGAAGTTATGGTGGCTTTTTCTTCACCCCAAGTCAACCCTCATCCGTGAATACCCACCCAGGGGAACATCTCAAAAACCCTGGGTTATCCAGACATGCCTCCATCATCTTTCAACCTTTCTCCGCGCGATATGTGATCTGAGGTGTCTCCTTCCCAAGTGGAGTAGGTGCCCAGGCTACTCAAACTATACCAGAGAACACCACCAGGAGGCGGACCACAACACCTTCCATCGTTTGCTTGTTTTTATAGTGTCAACTGCACTCTCGCAAGCGAAGTCTTGGCGCGCACAAAGCCCAATTCGAAAAACTCCTTGCCAAAATTCGGAATTTCACGCCCTTCGAGGTTTTATCCTTCCTTCGTATCATCATGTCGACTTATCCTGATTCCTCTCAAGTCCATCTCAAATAACTATCTCCCAGATTTGTGCGCCACGCTTTGCTTCCTCCGTCGGGTATAAATATCGGCGTGGGCGTGTATTTGGCGGTCAACTGAGGCCAGAGAAGGTCGAAGAGCGGTGTGGTCATCGGGATGAGGATGTACTTGGTCGTACTTGTAGACTTGATGAGACGAAGATAGGAGTCAAACTCGTTGGGAGCGAAATAACGACGTGGATAAGTAATTTGGATTTTTGCCTCGTGGGCCAACTTCTTTGATATTGCGAAATTTGACTGAACTTGGCTCTGGGAGAATATTTCACTCCCAGGTTCGTAGAGGACACCGCGTACAGGTGTTCAGTCTTGCCCTCCCTAGTTAAGCTTAATCATATGCAAATGAATCAATTCAATTGATCTTGATGATCATACCTAAAAATTCGAACCTTCATACATACTAAGTCTAGATTTCCAACATTATTTACTCTCAACGAGTTCAACTCCTACCCAAGTCTCATCAAGTCTACAAGTACGGCCCAACACATTCTAATTCCAATGATCACACCTCTCATCGACTTTCTCTGGCCTCAGCCGGTCACAAAATACACGCCCACGCCGATATTTATACCCGACGGAGGAAACAAAGCGTGGCGCACAAATCTGGGACACAGATATCTGGGATAGATGTGAGAGGGATCAGGACAAGTTCATAAGTTGATGCAAAGGTAGGATATTAAATTGAGTGAATAATTAGAAACAGCTAGAATGGAAATAGATGATGTGAATTGATCTCTAAAGTCTTCGGAAGTTGATGTTTACATGAATCCCACAGCTCCTAGCTTATCTTCAGAACACCAATATTATCTAGCCTATTACACGTTCTGTAACCGTTGATGATAGCCCGGGGAGTCTAACGTTTTAGTAAATCTAAGCCATAAATCCTTCCGAGACCTATGTTTCCCGAAGCTAGCTCTGACTGTAACTATACCAGACGTGAGTCAAAATTGGTGCTTAGTGGAAGCTCGGTCACCTCCAGGTCCCGAAGTCCTGTACAATGTGAAACCATAACATAGGACGTAACCTCGAATGCTGGGCAATTTAGAAGTTTGGCAAGGATTGTTCCAATTTGAGTTTTGTGCGCCCCAAGACTTTCCCCTGGGTGGGCATTCTCGGATGAGGGTTGACTCAGGATGAATAAAAACTGCCATAATCTCGCAGTGGCACTTGCAAATAAAATACGAAACATGAGAGCTCTAGCTTCAATTGAGTCATCGATTGCGTACTTTTTCTCTGATATTGTGTCATGGCTAAATACTTGCGAACGCAATTAAAATCTGATGCAAAAAAAACAGACAAAAGTAAAGCCCAAAGCAGCATAGCCGTGTAGGTAAGAAGCGAGCATATGAGACTAAATTCCTCCACATCACCGTGATTACAATTCTGGTATTATTCTGTCATGAGATGAAGGAGTTGTAAATCGTATCCATTACATTAAGAATAGTTTCCTCTAATGTAAATACTTATGCAAGAAGTCATCTAAGGACATATAAAAGAGTCATAAAGAGAAGGACTAGGAGACATTCATTAATACCAGGAAATTGGCATGAATGGATTCCTGTAAATTCTGGCAGGCAAATGCTTCTACTCGTGTATATAGCTGGTCAGCGTGAGGGAGACTTACTCCTCATGCAACATCTTCTTCATTTATCACCTAGATTTTTACTAGGCTATTTAATGCACCCCGTAGAACACCGCCAAAATCTCCAAGACCTCATCCCTGAGAGTTAAACTTAGCATCACAACAATTAGACATAAACTTGTTTTTCCGTGACTGCTAGATATCTAGCGCCAAGATTTTTGAAACGAAATAGATTGCCTGAACGTGTGTCACATTCAGATAACTGCTAAAGCAATGGTAGATGAGCGCTGTAAGTACAAATGTGAGCGACAAGGTGTCTAAGCCACAACATAAACCATTATGGTACCATCTGGGCATGGAAAATCCCCTTTAAGCTCCCTGTACCCACGCATTCAGCCACTCTTGTATCTATTAGTTAGTGTGAAGTGCTACCCTATTACTCATTTCAGCCACCAAAATTGTACAAAATTATGTCGAAAACCCTTATGAAATAGAGGGCCCATAAGTCCAGGACGGTTTGTGTCTCCATTTCTAATAGTAACCCCCAATATTCTACCTTTATCAAAGTTTTTGCGGTGCTGAGAACATCAAATCCGCTTATCATACCTTTTTAAATATTCTAAAGGTCGGGCATCTCATTATCTCAGCCTGAGGCTTGAGGTCATTATAGACTCCAGCCTTAGTCATACAACAGCCCGAATTGGACGGAAGTTGTCTTCTCCAGTCATACTTAGACAAAAAATGCCAAATTTGAGGTCTCTCATTGGTTCAAAGTTTGTGAATCAGCCGTGTGTGCCAAAACCTAGACCAAGATGAAGAAGTAGATAGCTCCTCGGCATCCATCTAGGTGGAGATATCAAGTTATTTGGCAGTGGCAGGCGGACTCGAAAAGACGAAAGTCAGGTGGACCAAATTAGTTGAGCTCAGGATCCAAGTTGTTAATAGCCAAAAATATTTCTCCTGAAAAGGTCACTAAAGAATTCAAGATTCATGTAAAGCTAGAAACACCTTACTGATATCCTATATAGTAGATTTATATACAAATTAGTGATACTGGAGCTCCTAGAGCAGCCACAAAATTTTGCTCGTTTAACAACTGTAGTTCGAAATGAGGGTTACGCTGAAAAGGTATTCGTCGTAGACGCTGAGGCGTCAAAGGGTTTTTTCATGGGCTTCCTGAGCCCAGCTGGATAACTTGATACTAAATTTTGATTCTAAAGATGACTGTAAATTTCATCAAGTAAACGCCATGTAGCATGTGAAGACAGTATTGTGATGGCTGAGAATCATTGAGGGAAAACTATTGGCAGATTGCTGAGGTAAGACGAGAATAAGAACATAAGAGTGGCGGTGTGGAGACGCAAAGGGTTCGGTCATAATTATTGGTGATTTTTGCGTCGCTTGCCAGCGTGGTATGGAACCTTTCTCACGCGCGGCAAAACTTGGCTTTCCGCGAGAGTCTGCTGGCTCGATCAGGACTAGTATAGGGAGACGTTGGGATGGAATCATTGACAGGAGTACGGTGGTGAGACGGCTGTGGACACTCATGGCTAATAGGACTTGTGCTGGAGACACAGCTTGAGCAAGGCCGACTGCTGAAACTGCTGGCACTAGCACTGCCGTGTGTCGCGATACGTTCGGGAGGTGTGTTAGGGTGTGCACATGGGGCCACATGCTGCTCACTGGGCCATCGAGTTGGCGGACAGTCCGGGGCGGGCAGCGAGAGGGGTGGCGATATGTTCCAGGCGCCGACTACGCCGGGTAGCACTAGGACGGTATGTAATCGTGTCGACTCCCATTCCGTCGCGCCATCAGTGCCTCGCACGACAGAAGCGTCCCACAAGCTCGTTAGCCCGTCAACTAGTAGCTGGTGTGCCGTTGATGATTTATCTGGCACATAGGCGAAGATGCGATTGCAGGCGCACTGCGCCTGGCCTCCAATAAAGTAGTCAGCTACATGCTCGGTGCGGGCGACTGCACTGCGTGTAAATTTGACATGGACGGCCCAGGGTGATGCAGAAAAGGCCGTGATGTGAAGCTTAGTGATGCTGAGAGCGAGGAGGCGCTGCTGATGCGTAGTGAGGAGCAGCGTGTGCTGGATGTCGTAGAGCGACGGTGATAAGCTGGAGCCGCACGAGAGTGCCCGGCGACCGCGGGGCGGCAGCGATGTGTACATGGGGAATTTCTGCGACGCATAATAATGTATCAAAGGTCGACATCTCCACGGTTGATGTAAATGTGAACAAGATCACAAGCGACGCTAGCTAGCACCCCCATTCTTCTCCGCCATCGTGGACATAGTTGTAAACATCGATTGTGACGTGGCGGCCCGTCCTGTAGCTCATGTGCCATTATGCGGCCTCGGACGCCGCACGTGAGATACTGCCGGAATAGCGGGGCAGTTCGAGCACATCATCCGTGCGCTCACACGTTCACAAATAACTTTCGTCATTAGAGCAATTTAAACTTCTAAATTCAAGCCTGTTATCTAGACAGAGGATACGGCTCCTCCAGCTCGCGGCAGAAAGCTCGAGGTTTCCGAGGCACTGGAAGCAAAGTATAGCACCCAGAAACACGCAAGCAACGCTGGACGGGGGCAGTTGAGTAATAGCATTGCCACCCGCTCAAATTCTAAGCTGAACGCAGCAATCTATAAATTCGCTGTTTCTCGAGGACTTCAGGCATTAGCGCCCCGAAATGCCCCTCCCGACACTCACCAGGTCTTGAGTCCTAGGGGCAAGGACACGATCGAAGAAGATCAGTTGACAGATAATACATTTCCTGGAAGTACAATCCTCACACAGCAAACAGATACTGACAAAGAGGAACCTAGCTTGACCCCAATGGACACAGAAAAAAACGAGCCCTAAGGAAGCTACCGTACTTCCCTCATGTCAAAATCCAGAGATTTACTTAATCTGGTTGGTGCTTACCTCGAAGGTATGGAAAACGAATACCCGGGAGCGGGTGTGGACTTCTCAGTTCTAATCTCACAGGGGTATCACGAGCCATCAAAGGACAAAAGATTTACAAGAGCCCAATGAACGAGCAAGAGCAAAATCTCGCCACTCAAAGTGACTAGAAGAGAACATAGGCTTCCAAAGCGTCCGCAGGGGTCTCGAATGGAACAAAAATTGATTTACGTCTGCCCATGACAAGACCGACACCTCCCCAGAATCAGGGCAAAGAAGACAAAAGGATTATAATTCGGCTAGATCGAGAACACGAAGCTCGCAAAGCAGACCCGTTTTTACTCCGCCAACAATTTCAAAGGCTGATCCTTGACCCATCATTTATAGTCGACGCATGGCAGGTTCCGTCCAGCGTTGCAGTGCTTGCCACATCGCTGGCAAAAGCGGCTAGTATTTTATAGCATAGTGAAGCCATTGCTGCACGATTTAGGAATGCTACTGTAGAAAGACAAGAGAATTGGGTGACATTTGTTGTCGGTCCTATTTCATAGAAAGTTAATACGTTAGACGGAGCCTATGACCCACTTAAAGGGCTTTTACTAGAGGAACTGAACATTTGAGCTATGAAGGATGTTACTCCTATTCAACACACAACCTGGACACGTCGGTCGATAGACTGAGCCCATTTGGGCACATCTGAATTCATGTTCCTGAGGCGAGGGCACACAAATTTCCAACCCAGATGCAGCTTTATGGACAAGCAACAAGTGTCCAACGAATCTCGAACAGGCAGAAATTGCGTACCTGCAATAAATGTTTTGGCTCCCACGCCACGAGAACCTGCGCTCGCCAGTTTAAATGCAGCTCTTGCGGAATGGATTCTCACGAAGGTCTATCCTCACGACAAGTACAGTACCCAAAAGCCGTGGACCTCAAGAATCCACTGATACTTCATGCCCGGCTCGTCCACACAGAGATCATGGCGTATCTGTTCGCACAACAGCGGCATAGCTGCGACATATACGCGCCGCTGGACGCAGAGAACTTTCCAACACTTTAAAGCATACTCAGGAATCGGCTGAAAGGGATACCGAGATCGTCACTGAACTCAACCCTACTCATTAAATATGGTCAGAAGAAAAAAAATCTAAAAGTTAGACCAATCCGAATTAAGCAAGTAAATGTTGAGAGAGGTGCTTACGCGCACAATATGGCTCTCCAGCTCACACACGAAAATAATATTGACGCTTTACTCATACAAGAACCTTGGAAATTGAAAGACTTAACAGCGAAAACGTCAATTTCACATTCAAAATATGCGCATTTTTCACCACTCGATGAATGTCATACTCGCCCTAGAGTTCCAACGTACGTCGGCAGTTCACAAGGACTGCGCTCATACCAAACTGCAATTAATACTTCTCTAGACCTACCGCAAGTGGTTATTTTCACCGGGCGAGGTCGGAAAATAGCTGCATTGAATGTGTACAACGCTCCATCTGGGTCAATCAGAGCGAGAGAAGGCCTTCAAACATTAGTCAAATCGACTTGTGCTCCTGAATTTGTTAGTGATGATTTTTATTTGCGACACCCAGTATGGGATTCGAACGAAAAGAGCCCCGAAAAGCCGTCAGACATGCGAAAAAAAAGTACTGGACTACAAGAATCGAAAAATCGGAATCTCACTCAGAAGTATACAAGATCGTGAATTGGCACAACACGCCGCCTAAATACCAGACACTACCACTAAGGGGCCCAGATGGGGAGGTCAGCATCCATAGCCCGAAAGAGAAAGCAGCACTACTCCATGGAGTGTTCCTCTCCCGACATCTGGAGGCAAATGATACCCTTGAAGAAACCCTCTCGGTAGCCGCGAGGCGTATTCCTTAGCAACCATTCTCCGAAGCAGAATCGTTCCGAACAACTTGTCAGGTATCTTTAACCTCATAAGGGGAAGATGAAATTACGGCTCCTATTATTCGACTTTCATGGCCAATATTAGGGGAGCGGATAACTAGGCTTTTAAATTAGTGCGCAGTACACGGGGAACAACCAAAGATATTTAAGCGCGCACATATTGTTATTCTACCAAAATCTGGAAAACGGGATCGAACACTACCTAAAGCATACCGACCTATAGCTCTTCTTTCCTGTCTTGGAAAAGGACTTGAACGGATCTTCGCACGGCGTCTCTCTTTATGCTCCTTGAAGTTTGATATCCTAAGTAGGAATCTGTATAATGCAATTAGCCAACAGTCAGCTACGGATTTGATGACAGCATTGGTAAGTGATGTTAAAGAAGCACTACAAAAGGGGAAAATTGCAGGTATGGTGACGGCTGATTTGAAAGGAGTCTTCGATGGGGTGCTGCGGAACCGACTCCTTCTTCGACTGAGGACTCAGTGATGGCCGTATAACGTAGTGCAATGGGTAATCCCCTTCTTCCAAAACCAGTCGGCAAGAATCAGACTCGATCGAGAAGTATCAGATCCTTTTCAGATTTTATTTGGCCTATCATAAGGATCTCCAAAATCGCCTATTCTATTTCATCTCTATATACAACCAGTCATGCGCCTTGCACGCGGATGTTTCGGCTATGCAAACGATATCGCAATGTTCGAAAAAGGCCCAAATCTCGAGGAATACAGTCAGAGACTACAGTTAAGACTGACAAGAACTCTACAATGGGGTAGGGATAACGGCATTCAGTTTGAAACAACGAAGACTGAGCTCCAATAATTTCATAATAAAAGAAAATATCATGAACCTCCCTTACTGATGGAGGACACCGTAGTTCTTCCGAATGATCACACCCGCTAGCTTGGGATAGTCTTTGATAAGAAGCTATCATACAAAGAACATGTACGCCGAGCCTGCCAACGCTATCGAGTGGTCATCGACCATGTCAAGAGACTATGTAACACTGTGAAAGGTGCCCAAACTGCTCTTCTGCAGCAAGCCTTCCAAGGTATAGCTTTTGCATCACTTTTCAATGGAGCTGAGACGTGGTGTGGACCAAAAACGTCCAAGTGGACAATAGATCAAGTCCAAGGGGCAATTAAAAGAGCAGCTCGAGCTGTATTACCAGTGTATAAAACTAACCCTGTTCCAGCTCTTTTGCGGGAAACTGGATGGGCTCCAGCAACTACCTGGCTAGAAAGAATACACGATCGCTTTGTGATTAGAGTTGCCTCGACTGACCCTAAGCACCCCTAACGAAGCTGTTGGAATACAAAACATCTTCAATGGATTAGGAGCCTTCAAAAAGTTGAATTTTCGCTGGACACTTTTCCTCCTCCTTGGCCGAGTCTCGATAGGAGTAGAGCAAAGGAAGAGATTAGAGCTATCGGTCGGGAAAAAGGTCTAATGGAATATCAAAATTTGGATCAAAGCTAGAGGCACAATTTGTTAGATCTTTTCATATATTCAGATGGGGCAATGAACAAGGAAGGAGAGGCAGGGAGTGCATATTGCATCTACCGGGCTTCAATCTCAGAAATTACAAATGCGAAGATTCTTCTCGGTCGGACTGCAGAAGTTATTGGGACAGCTAAGGGGCTAAAAGTAGCCATGTCACATTGTATGGCCAAATACGCCACAAATATTGTGGTATGTCTGGAGAATGAAGAAGCGGCGCTACGAACACACACTGTCTACCTAAGCCCATCCAGCTCGGTCAAGATTGCAGAATTTCAGGTACTGAGGGAAATTTGGAATAGTAGAGTGCAATCTTCGAGAGAGGAAGAAGGTGCGGCGAAAGTACAATGGGTTCCGGGTCACGCAGGGATTAAAGTAAATAAGCGTGCAGACGTATTAGCTAAGGAGGCCTGCAGCGAAACAACTACACGGACAAAAGCTTCAATATACAGAGCCAAAAGCCTCATAAAGGAGCGGCAAGAGAGTAGCATCACCCGATATTGGAAGGACCATGCTCCGAGTAGCTTTGGGAGTCTGAAGATACTTATGACAGGACAAATGCCTGAGGAATTACAGAATTTATCTCGGAAAAATCTCGCATTAATCCTTGCGGCCCGCCCCGCTCGCGGAGACTACGCCACATATCACAGACGCCAAGCTATTGTGAATCTATGGAGAGGAGAAGGCTCCAGAACATCTATTTGAATGCAGGAAACTTGACCAAAGTAAAACTCTTAGGCCACGTCCATCTCGCGGTAAGGAGGGGGATGTCATGTGGATCCTCGGCACAACAACAGGGGCGAAAGAATTCAGGATATGGTGCCACACAGCTCATCCATACAAATAACAAGAAGGTGCCACAGTGTAGAGATAAGATTAGGGATGAAATTGATAGGATTGCCTCAAAAGTACTACACAAACTTGTAATTTAATCAGAAATTTAAAAAAAGGGGGGTTTGCAAGGAGCTAGGCATTGAAGAACTGACGCGAAGAGAATGGGCTAGAGCTCTGCCTTGCATCAATATAGAGCATTAATTGCGGTGAAAGAGAGGACATTGTAGTCTTCAGACGATAGAATCGCCCGATAGCAATAGGCTATACGGAAACGCCAAACGCCCATTCCTGGGCATAAAGGCCGGGTCATACTCATGAGCCAGTTCGGCGTTAAATACACACACCCAGACGATTTTTTGAAATTCGAATCTTACGTGTTTCCTCTTCCCCCTCCCGCTCGCGCTCGCGCTCGTCGCACTCTCGAAAAAATTGTGATCGAGTCACTGGCATTTTTATCATGCCACCAATTCGAAAAAAGCTTCCCAACACAATGTTGGACGACTCAAGACTCCGCCGAAGGGCTCCCGCAAAAACTATCAAGCATATTTGCGAGTGAGGCCTTCGTCGTAGGGAAGTATCCAAACCTTCCCGACAAAGAGATAACTGGTTCTGAGCCCGTCAGGACAGTAAAAATTGGTCGAGGCCAAAATTCCCATCGAGCTTACCCCAGAGGCAAGCACCTCAAGGAAAGGAAAGGAAGTCATTCGAGAGAAGACGACAGAACACGCAAAAATGTGTGCAAGAAAATTCGCTGTGCCAGCTTCGACATCAGCACCGGAATATCCTCCGGAGCTGCAGTCAGTGATGGAGGCCGAAAAGCGCCGCACGACGCAAATAAAGGCCCGTCTAGCAATATGTTCCACTGCAATAAGTATTGTTGAAGTAGCACTTTCGCCTATTTTGATTGGCGAGAAAAAAGAGTTTGTAGACGGCATCAAAGTCTACCTTCGAGCGGCCATTGGCCAGTTCGTACAATCAGGCCCAGGGAGCACTCCACCAGCTTTCCCTGCGCGCCCCAGCATCCCTCCTACACTGAGGAGTCAAGAAACAAGGGTACCGAACCCTTCGACAACTTGGGCGAAAGTAGCCCGAGCAGGCCTTGACCACAGCACTGGGCCATCAACAACAAAGGCAGCCCCGCCAGCCCGAAAAGCTAAGGGAGCCAGTCAAGGACAGCAGTCGACACAAGACTGTTTCTACGCCTCGCACACGACCACTCCCAACGACTCCTTTCTCCAGCTGGCATAAGATCAGCTGTCTTAGAGATGCTCGGTACCGTAGCCAACAATATAACGTTGGTTAAGCGGGTAAAAACAGGCTTTACACTAACAGTAAAGGATGAACTCGCTCGGAGAGAGCTCCTGGATTCCTCCGCAGCACGGAGGGAATCTGGAATCAGTCTAGAACCAGCGTCAAATCTAGTTGTTCTCCGAATTGCCACCGTCCCTGTGAGAATTAACACACTCACAGGTTCCGTTTTGATAACGGAAAAGATGGTCGCTCACGAAATCACGCGTGTGAACATATCGGTTCCTTTTCTTGTTCGTCCTTATGGATCGGATTCGCGGTTCTGCGAAGCTAGACCCAACAAGTCCAGCTCGGTGAAAAAAGAGCAGCTTGCGATAATTCTCAATGTCGAGCGGAAAAATCACGCAGATTATGCTCGTGTCAAAGTTGCAGCCGAAATAGCCATTCAGGCGATTTACGGCTCGAAGAACGATGTCTACATTTCAGATGGATCAGGTCTTGTGATTCTGGAATCCGAGGAGGGGGTTTAAGATTACGGCGAGCCTCAGAGAGGTCTTTGAGGCTTCAACACGTTAATAGCAGAACACCAGCTGGAGAAAGGGTGCCTGCGAGTTCACTTTCTGCTCTCAGCGAAGGACAGAAATTGTCAATTGGAAAATGTGACAGGAAAGGGAACGGGCGAGAAGCGCGGGATCCGGACCTAATTGGGATTTCTTCTAAAATTGACTTTAGCTTTTGATTTTCGTTTTGCTGTTAACACCATTATTTATGTGGAAGTTCATGCGGCTGGAATGAGTTGGGCCTGTGTACAATGATCCTTAGCGGCTCCACCGGTCCTGTACCCATAGTAGGATGTAGAGCATTTTACTTTAGCTCAGGACTTTTAAAATTGTACACACATACACTTTGTCAATCCTACTAGGATCTATAAACAGAGTCCCGAAAGATTGGTGGTTTTTTTTTTCATTCATTTTATGTTCCTTTCTGAGTCTATGACTATGTATGACATGCAAGTCCTCTCTACCTACAGGTCAAGGATACCTATTCCAGTAGTATATCCCCTCCTATGCCTCCCATATAGCTCCCCTCAAACAGTAACACCTCTTACAAGTCCTCATTGGATAATACACTTGAAGGTGCCCTTTGCCCTTCATTATCTCCTCTCTCCAGCCATAGAAACGATGGCCATTTGCAGGTGTATGACAGCAGGGAAAAATTGCAAAAGACACTGGGTGCGAGGCTCTTCTAACACCGACATTAGGACTAAATCCGAAAACATAGTGACCCTTCTGAAGCGTTCGAAGAGGCCGGCCAGTTGGGCACTGCGGACATGAGGGTACCTCGGGAAATTCATACTCTACCTTTCTAGCCTCCTTCCAACTCCTTCCCGAAGGTCGTGCTGAAATTTCAGAAAAGTCTTGACAGAGCGTGATTACTGTATAGTTGTTTGGTCTAAATTCTTTTGTACCGTCCAGGGCTCTGGGAAGTGCCGTTGACTCATCGAAAATTCAAGTCCTCCTGGCTAATTTGCCAAAATCTCGATCTTGGCGCGCAAAAACATTCTAAAGTTGAAAGCCCCTCGAAATTATCAGTCCCAACACGATCTTCAGTGACATCTTCTCCCTCTCGCTTCACATCTCAGTCACCTATCTTTTCTCAAGTTGTTTTTCCGATTTGAGCGACTGTCCCCATAAGCCAGGACCCAGGCTTTGTGTCTTTCAACTTAATTTCCTCCATGCGAGTATAGATAGCGTCGAAAATTTGTAATGGGAGTTGGCTAGTAATTAATAGGGCAAGCTCTCGTTTTCAATTGGAGAAACTCCTTTATCGGTCGCTGAGTCGAGATAATGTGCAATTAGAAAGAGCTTGAAGACTCAAAGGAAGATGGTAAGTACTGCATAATCGAGAAGTAGTCTTATGGAAGTGAATTTGTGTTTGCTTTCAAATTCGCTTCGGTTGCGATTCTTCTTGGCTATCCGCTCCCATCCTCTTAGATTATCAAAAAGATCATTGATATTATGCCCAAGATAGATGACCATTTGCCTCAATGTTTGAGCGTGGAATTCAGCAATAATTTACGCGGTACCTTCTACCCAAAAAAATAAAATGGTAGCAATGGAAGCTGCGTGCGCGGGAAAAAGTCTCAAAAAGACCTGCAGCCCCAGCCAGGCGAGGCCTAGACACCGGGACTACACGAGGTGCGCATATTCATCTACATGTCCCTTCTTTGTAGTAGTCGAGGCCGGCTTGATCCAATCCGCCATCTCCGTATCGGGTCCTGGGTACGCTCCGGAAACATATCGCATGGCTTTTCCTCCATTATCAAGAGTTGGTGATGAGTAGGGCTCCGACTCTACCATCTGATCTGATCGTGGTTAGCTTCATGATAATTGTGATAGGGGAGTATGTTGAGAGTTGAAGACGATACAGACCGCGAAAGTAATTGGGAATCCTCATCGAAGTGATGACTTTGTCATTCATTCCCTGCTCTGCAGACTCTACAGTAAGAGCTGGAGATTCTTAGATGTTACCAGCGCAAAATTTTGAGTTTCCGCAAACCGGAGGCGTAATTATTGAAATAAGGATGTGTTAGTTCCAACCCACAGGAGTGGCAAAATGTTAGCCCGAATCGAGCTTAAACTGAATTTGTAATGTAGCCTAGCCGGCCAAATTCTCTATTACGGCGAAATTACACTTAACCCTATTGTTGGGACACCTTTCACTCTCACACTTGCAGAGAATTTCACTCACAATTAACCAGTCTTTATCCTGATGGATAAACGGGCTTACCTTTCACCGTGTTCCCACTTTCTAGAGAGTGAAGTTAAATTTGAAACGAGAGGATCGAGCACCCCCTATTGCGTATTCATCAATGCCACCCATTCCCACTGAGGTGAACACAAGATAGGTGCATTTACAGTGCTGATAACTACTACTATGCTGTACCTATTGATTTCTACATTTACTTTTCTTTTGACCCCGACCTTGTCAATTGAGTCACATTGGGCTCATTACAGTTGTACAATATGCGTCCCGCATGCCCAGACTTGACGTCACCTCTTCGCTTCCCGTGCTTCGCAGAGTGTCCGCTTGCTTGTGACGGCTCGAGTGCATCCTTGGTTCAGTCAACTTACCTTCTCGGCACGATCCACCTCGAGGCAACCGTCTCAACTTCACCAACTTACATATGTATTGATCGTGTTGGGGTGCAATTCGCAGTTACGATCCAGCTTCCGCCTCACGAGATCAAAGAGGGGGTTCGAGGCGGCGGATTCGATTTGGCTGCTTGGAAACGAGGGTGGTGTTTGGCGATTCGTAGGCCGCAGCGGTTAGGTGTTGACACCAACAAACAAGGATTCATTGCAGTTGTGAAAGATGATGTTATGGTAACCAAAAATCCAGCATTACTTGCAAGTTCGAAATTAATTGAAATGGATCTCAGGTTATACCCACAAGCCTCGCAAAGTTAACAGAGATCTGTTTAATGCAGAGAGAGCAAGAAGTTTTGGTAAATGATACAGCAGTGTGTCAGGCTTGTGGTGTGGAGTCCGATCTTAAAAACCTACGCGCCTGCCGCGGCTGCGGATATGTTTGGTATTGCAATAGGGTAAATTTTCATGCTCTCACCAAAGTTTAACAATCTCTTTCTAACCGAGTTCTACACAGGAATGCCAACTTGAAGGCTGGTCACAGAAAGGTCATAAAAGTAAATGCAAGGTACTAAATGTCCTGAGAAATTTTCCTCAAGATTAGATACCTTCCCATCAGTTTTCTCGACTCATCTAAGGCAGTAAAGTTCATAAAAAATCATCATCCCCAACAACAAAAATGTAACCCTTTTACCGGTAAGAGCCCCTGGAGGGCTGGGAATTAATGAAATTTTCAACCATCTACAAGATCATATTATTATAGTCTAATAATCAATGATCATGCTGAAAAGAGAAGGTTTATGTGTACACCTCTCTTGAAATTAAAACATGAAACTACACCTAATAAGACTTCGTTAAAGTTACTAGCAAGCTTTAAAGCATTTTGAAGACCTTTCTAGGATGAATAAGTGAAAGCTTATTTGTGACGGGCACAAGCCCTGCACTCTAAGAGCATGACACAGAGAAGACTAGCTTCCCCGACGACCATGTACAACGATAACTCAGTTTGACATTTGGACTACTCATGTAGTGGGTGCATTTGCTGATACCTCCCGAGACCTTGGTGCAAGGGACTTTCACCCTTCCCTCAACCGTTAACATCCACCAAAGGGAAAACAGGAAAAATCTTTGACTACCCTAACATGCATTTGCCATCTTGTATATAGCCGCCGCGTGAGATATGGCCTCACAGTCATCCCTTTCTCGAATGAGGTTGGTGTCCAGACTTCACAGACTTTAATTCGGGGAGAAGACGACCAGGAGGCGGGCCAAAACACCTTCCATCGTTGCCTGTTTTTAGAGTGTCGGTAGCACTATCCTTAATCGTTGCTTCTGCGCCCATAGTCACCCTAAAGTCGAAAATACTGGATAAATATGCGTCCCATTATGCCCATTTGTCACCTCTTCACTCGTTCGTCCTACGTTCCAGCTGCCTGTCTTTCCTCAAGGTGTGAAGCCCCATTAGAGCTACGGTCCCTCATAGACCAAGACCCGAGCTTTGTAGATTATGACTTAATTTCCTCATCGCGGGTATACATAGCATCATTAATTTGTAGTGGGAAATGGCCGGTTTTTGATGAGGCAAATGTCTGATTGCAGTTGGAGTAACGCGATTATAGGTGTTTGAGGCAAGGTGCAGGACTCGCGCGAGAGTGATAGGTCAAACATTTGTCAAGAAGTCGTCGATTTTAGATATGCTTGAGGTTACTTTCGACTTCGATTCGGATGCGATTCTTCATGGCTATCCCAGATATGCAGAGCACACTGAGCGAATACACCGGCACTACTGGAAGATGAAGAATTCTTCTTTGCTGCCACTGTCCACAGGAAGACTAGTGCGCTTCCATATCATAACACGCGGCACTTCCCGTTGTGCTAAACGATTTACTTTTATATTGGAGAAGACTAGATTCCTGTCGAAAGTTTGCCCAATCCGCGCTGTTTGACGTATTTTATGGGAGGGGTCCGCTGTACAGCGCTCACAATAGCTTGATGAGTTTGTTTCAGGCCTCCAGGCTCTCTTTAGATTTTATGATATTGTAGGTTATAGCAGTCACCGTGGCCCCTTGGGGATGGGGCTGCAGCCATAACTGTAGACCGGTAGACCTTAAAAATAAATAAATAAGTAAATAAAATGCTGGCCTTAGAGAAGGCAGTTACGAAGAATCTCGAGGAGCCGTCGCGCAAGACGGCTGCTCCGGCAATTTTAGGAATGGGAGGGCGACCCACATACGCCTCTATCGTTGCACCGCCATCGACTCGAGCGGCAGTCCGGATAAGAGTTCAAGGAGCAAATAATATGCAGCCGGACGAGCTGCTAGACAATGCAAAACTACATATCGAGGGGGCTTACGCAGTTAGGAAGCTGCGGAGCAATGACACGGAGGTGTATGTGCAGTCGGTCTCCCAACGAGACGCGGCTTTGAATATGGCGCAGCCAAAGGAGTTCTGCGTCCTAAAGCAGGATTACCCTGTTGAGATATTGGGGATCCCCTTGGGGACATACATTCGAGGCGGAAAAAACTCAGACAACGGCATACTAATTAACAAAATAATGGCTGAGACAAAAGTTCGGATCCCCGAACTAAAGATCAACAGGGTAAGATGGCTCTACGACGGAAAGGAGCACCAATGGATGGGAAGAAACGGCCATACTCAAGGGTCGATTATCGCGAGCCTGCCGACCGAGGAACTTCAACGCGAAGTCATAAGAAACGGCATTGTGCTCAATTCGATGCTATTCACAGCCCAGCTCTGGTCACCCCGAGCTCAAGTCAAGCAATGTTTCAACTGCTGCCAATGGGGGCATACACAAGCCTCTTGCAACAAGGCAAGCAAGTGTGGTGAGTGCGCGGGCAATCACCAGACCAGGGAATGCCCGAGGAAGTCGGTGCTTTGCTGCAACTGTGGTAAGGCCCATAAATCGTGGCAGAAAAGGGCGTGTCCGAACTTCGCGGAATACAAGGCCAGCGTTCAAAAGGCGCGGTACGAACTAATGGAACGCACGGCAGACATAAGGAAGGAATCTTTCTCACCCGTGGCTTCAACATCAACGACACTAACGGCAAAACCTACAGACCACCATGGGTTCACACTGGTGTCCCACCACAACTATTTGGACCATCGGGGTCAAATTCAAGACCACAGTCGTCTCTTTTCAGCACGCGAGGGCAGGGAAAGGATGGCGAGGTTTATTTTAGCTAGTACTGTCTCGGACTCAAGGTAAATTGCACTTCCTATAGGTAACGGAGGACTATAGAGAAATATAAAAGTTAATAGGGGGAGGGGTTTTACCGCAAGGTTTCCTCCTCATGTAAATAAATAGTTTAGGTTCATAGCCGTCTGCATGGGCCCACTGGGCGCCAAATCGGGTTAAATGAAATCAAAATCAAATTCAATAAATAAATAAATAAATAAATAAATAAATAAATAAGAAAAAACATCATTTTTCACGAAAAGCGGCACAACGTTCCACGAACGTTATTTCATCGTTATTATTATTGCATTCTTCTTAATCAATCTCACTTACCTTATTCCTCGAATTTTTTTCGTTGCGCTTCGGCATGGCGAGTTGGGGGACAGGAAAGGTGGATTTCACGGCTGGAAAAATTTTCACGGCACCACCACCACCACCAACGGATAGCGGAACAGCCGCAATAATGCTTGTAGAATCTCTCGCGACTTCTACTGGCATGAAATTGGAGAAACTAAAAACCGTGGCTTATTATTTAAACAGGGTCCGAGATAGACTGGCGATCGCAGGAACTGATAAATCTGCGACACCAATGGTCGAGATAGATGAGGTACTTGATGCCTTCGTAGCCCACGCCAAGATGTTTCGATCGAAGCTGACGGCTAACCCAATGGAAGATCGAATGTTGGCCTTAGAGAAGGTCGTAAAGGAGAGTCTCGATAAGCCGGTCTGCAAGACTGCACCACAACCAGCACAATTAATGGGAGGTCGACCCACGTACGCCTCGATCGTCGCGCCGCCAGCAACCAAAGCGGCAGTACGGATTCGAGTAGAAGGGGCCAACAAGATGCAGCCGGCAGAGCTGCTTAACAAGGCAAAATTACATATTAATGGGGCATACGCCGTGAGGCAACTGAGGAGCAATGATACTGAGGTGTTCGTGCAGTCGGTCTCTCAGAGAGACGCTGCCTTGAGGATGGCGCAGCCCAAGGAGTTCTGCGTCCTAAAGCAGGATTACCCTGTTGAAATCTTAGGAGTCCCACTGGGGACAATAATTCACGGAGGAAAGAATGCCAACAACAGCGTGGCAATATTTAAAATGACAACGGAGACAAAAGCACGGATTCCAGGGATACAAATCAATAGGGTGAGATGGCTCTACGATGGGAAGGAGCACACCTGGGTGAAGGAAAATGGCCATACTCGAGGGTCAGTTATTGCGAGCCTACCGACCGAGGCTCTACAACGCGAAGTGATCCGAAATGGCATTGTAATGGACTCAATGCTCTACACGGCCCAGCTCTGGTCACCCCGGGCACAAGTCAAGCAGTGCTTCAACTGCAGCCAATGGGGGCACACCCAGGCATCCTGCAACAAGGCAAGGAAATGTGGAGGGTGCGCGGGCACCCATCAGACCAGGGACTGTCCGAAGAAGTCGGTACTTTGCTGCAACTGTGGCAAGGCCCACTTATCGTGGCAGAAGGGGGCGTGTCCAAGCTTCGCGGCATACAAGGCCAATGTTCAGCGGGCACGGTATGGACTCATGGAGAGAACGGCTGAACTAAGAAGGGAGAGCGAAACACCAACGGAGTTACCTCAACTAAGTACTGCTAACATACCAGACGACCATGGGTTCACGCTAGTGAACAACCAAAAGCCAGAAGGCTTCAAGAGAGGGCCGGGACGCCCGCGCAAACAAGTTCAGGTCCCAGCCCCATCACAACATCTATTTGCGCCATCGGGGTCGAAATCAAGACCACAGCCATCACTTTTCGGCACGCGAGGGCAGGGAAAGGATGGCGAGGTATACTTTAGCTAGTTCTATTTCGGACTAACGGCCATTTGCACTTACTGTAGGTAACGAAGTACTACAGGTATAAAATTTTAAAGGGGGAGGGGGTTTTTATCGTAATGGTTTCCCCCTCATGTAAATATATAGTTTTAGGTTTATAGTCACCTGCATGGGCCTTAAGGCGCCAAATCAGGACAATGAAATCAAATTCAAATTCAAAATAAATAAATAAATAAATAAATAAATAAATAAATAAATAAATAAATAAATAAATAAATAAATAAATAAATAAATAAATAAATAAATAAATAAATAAATAAATAAATAAATAAATAAATAAATAAATAAATAAATAAATAAATAAATAAATAAATAAATAAATAAATAAATAAATAAATAAATAAATAAATAAATAAATAAATAAATAAATAAATAAATAAATAAATAAATAAATAAATAAATAAATAAATAAATAAATAAATAAATAAATAAATAAATAAATAAATAAATAAATAAATAAATAAATAAATAAATAATAAATAAATAAATAAATAAATAAATAAATAAATAAATAAATAAATAAATAAATAAATAAATAAATAAATAAATAAATAAATAA